CATAATATGCAATATCTATATCCTGTACAAGACTTCTATTCTCCATTTCAAAAAGGTGAGTTATTTCCCCTGAAGGAAACTCCTTTACTGTGTCTAATACGCATGCGCTATAAAGAAAATGTATGTTCATGGTGTAATGCCTCTGTCATACGACAAACTGTAATTGTGTTTGTGAATAAAAAGAAATCTAACTATTTCGTAATTTTTTGAATTGCTCAGTCAAAGAATCTTTCTGGATTTGTATTAGTCTGTATACTAGTATAATAAGGCGTTGTGTGATCCCCCCTTCTTACAAAAGAAAAATCGAACCAGATTACTGATAAAATGCTGATACATATTCGAATAGGCCTATTTTTTTTTGGGGGGGGGGGGGGGGGGGGGGTTTTAAATAAAAGCTAAATTTCATTTTCGGTAGTGGATGTTCTGCAGACGGATAGTCATTGTTTACAAAATGTGCAGAACAAATATAAGATTTTTTGTTTTACGAATTAATCTAGCCCTCTGCAGCAATATTTTCTTCTCCGCATCTCTAGGAATGTTTTGGAGACTGATGACATGCATCGTCTCAAGCAACGGTCCGGAGTCCGCATATGGGAGAGGATCGTATATTTTGGCCGTGGTTTGCGACGATGGATGACATGTCCATCTACAGTTTTACCTCTGAAACTGCTGCATATACAGCAGTATAGTTCATCTTGCGCGACCGATATCAAGAAACTGCGTTTTTGCTCGATTATATGTCATAACATATTTTACTTAGAAGAACATTTTTGGTGACAATTAAAGGCCTATTTCATATGAATTAATGGTGTTTCTAGAAATTTATATTTGTAAAATACTTTATTCAATTTTTCGTATTAAAACTTTGAATGGAATTCCAAATGAGTAATTTAATCTCAGACCAATTGAAATAGCTGAACTGAACTGAACTGAATTCGTGTTAAATATGTCGAATAAAATTTGAGCTGTATTTAATCAAAGTTTTAGTGCAGGATCTAAGTGAAAGTATATCCTGAGTATAATTGACTTAAAATTTTGTTTTAGATCAGAGAATTGACAGCAGAAACACGAGCGTATTTCACGTCCATACGGAAAGCATTCTTTTCGTAAAGTGTTATGTTTTTAAATTATATTGAATTCACAAATAATATTTTTAATGATTTTTAATTTCCACAACTTTGGTTTATATTCATCTGTTCAACCCATTTACACGTTCGTTCTCTGAGCATGCAGTACGCACGAAACCCTCATCAAATTAGCATGAAAGTCGATTTGAAACATTCTTATGGTCAGGTGTAAGTTCAAGTGTGTAACACACTCAACTGACATGCGCGGATCTATAGTGGGGGGGTCGGCGGGGTCAGGACCCCCCTGGAATTTATCAGGTTAAAAAAATGTATATACTAAAACAAGAAAAAAGTTACCATGCACCCCCCTTGGAAAACGCAGACCCCTCTGGTAATATATTTGAAATGGGTATGTAAGGTGAAAGATTTGAGGCAACAACAAAAGTCACCACTACATCCCCCACCCCCACGAAATAGGTTTTTGTTTTGACTGAGGTGGACCCCCCCCCCCCCCCTGGAAAAAATTTATGGATCCGCGCCTGACTGACATCCAGCGAAATTCATCTTCCCGGTTTCACCACGACGCGTATTATTAACTGACATGTATTTTGTAAATTATCCCTTTTTAGACATAAATAAGACGAATCCCGTAGATGGTAAGATTTTAAGAAAAAATACAATTTTCAGACGAGGAAACACATATGGACCTCTTATAAGTACGATACAACTGCATCTGATCATTACACGTCGGAATCTAAATGATTCCTTATTATAACTTCAAGAAACCCACAAACTTTTAAAGGAAATGATTGTACAATGAAGAAAATCAGTAACATGTACATGTACTTTTTATAAAGATATGACGTTTCTCTCGTTTTCAAGTACCTATAAGTATTAGTAAGAGTAGATTTGTGAATAATATGCATAGTTGAGCTTGATAAAATCATCAAATGCATCACTGCTCAACATTATTATCTTTCTATAACAATACTTTATATCGCGATTACTCAACTTAGCGGAACTCTTTCGCAATGGAGGTAGGAAACGTCTGTTGGATGGGGTCAAATGTGCTATTGAATACAATGCAAGATCGGTTATTGTAGAGTTTATAAATAAGGATAGATAAGTAAAAAAATCCTTTTGGAATACCTTGCTTAAAAGTCGCTGAACAAGCTTAATTAATTTTTGAGACCAGCTAATCCCAAAATGTGACATTTTTAACGATATTTTTAACTCAGCGGGCTTTTCTCATTAAATTTTTATTGATAATCGTCACATTTTAAAGCCATTCAATATTCTAAACTTTCCTTAGTTGACAATCTACTACACCTGTATTTGGAATCCAATTCTTGGCAATACATTGCACCTTCGGCATTAAAATGATCGATGTGTCCCCCAAATCTAGAGCTTTCTCGACTCTCCCGCAAAAGAGCGGCGGTAAGTTAAGACAACTGCGAGGTACTCGCGATATTACGTATTCGTAAATTTTAACAATAAATATCGTTCATTTATTTATGCACGCTTGTATAGAGAAACAACCTGTCCCACCTCCATGCTGAAATGGATACTTTTCGCGCTTCTATCGTAGGAGAAGTGCAATCTCGAAACTTGCGTATTGTATCCTTAACCTGCCACAAAACTTCTATGAAACTGCAACAGCGGGTAAGAATAGAGAGGGGTAAAAACCACATTGACCACATGTATGATATAATTTTTAATTAAAATCATAGTTTTATCACCAGTGTGCATTAATTCGTATGATTTATTGTAACATTCTTGATATTCTACAACGCATCCTTGATCGATTATCAGAGCAATCATGGTTACTTTGCGCAGAAAAATAAAGCTCATTTCAATCAAAAATCAAATTGTCTCAAGAAAAACGTATTTTTTTTTTTGTCTGAACGAAAGCTAACTTAATTTGTCCTAAAACTATTTAAAATTGTCCTATCAAAATGTCTTATTTCTTCAAAGACATAACTTCCATATAACTACATGTATTTCCGAAAAATATCCGAAAAAAATGACTTTTTATTTCTGGAAATCTGAATATAGCATTTCCGACAATTTTTCTTTTCATTTTCGACAATTTTTCTTTTCATTTCTGATATATATTTATTTCACTTTTCATTTCCGAAATTTTTGCAAGGTACCTCTTGAGCAACTTAATGTTAATAAAGTAGGAGGAAATCAAATTTTAAAATTAATTTATTTCTGTATTTCAAAATAATTTTCTCAAAATATTAACAGATTAAAAACAAATAAAAAATCTGTTGTAAATATAGATCTGTCATGAAGCACCAAGTCTAAATGAGCATGCATTTGTAAGAATAACATTCAGTATTCATAAAATTGTCAACGACTGTACCGAACTTATGTCCAAGAATATGATATACTATAATTTATTCTTTAAAAATTTTCATCAGTGAATTATTCAATCCTACTTTCATTACCGAAAAGCAATACCTTAAAGATGTCGAAGATGAAAACTTTAAAATGTTTTGGGGGGGGGGGGCTAAAAATGGCCGGAAATGAAAAGTTGAAAGTTTAAAAAAGTTCCGGAAATGAAATGCAACCAAAAAAAAAAAAAAAACATTTTATTTTTTTTTAACAGGTTATGTATATCTAATTAGTCTCAACTTCTTTTTTATAGGACTCTGGGGTTTATTCTGCCACGCCTTCGACCAAAATTAGTCAATTTATTGTATATCAATTCTGGCATATTTTGTTTGTTTGTATCATACAGACATACAGAACCAAGTCGAGGTAAAAAAAAAAAATTAGTCATCGTAGAGGGGATACTTTATCGGTAGAAGAATATTTTAAAGAACGGGAACCTAAATAGAAGATTAATTTAATTTAAACAATATTTTATTCACTGGTGTTATTGTGAATAGGATTGAACAGCAGGCGCAGCCTATTTTAGCCCTCTCACTGAAAAATAGAAGATTGAGTTTTACATTTTTCTATCACGTAGTTTACAATAAATACGAGTTATAATTTTTTTTCATTCCATTTTCACTTACTTGGCAAACATTAAGTTGCCGGACAGGTAAATTCCGAAATTGAAAAAAAAACCAATATGTCGGAAATGAAAAGAAAAAATGTCGGAAATGAAAAAAAATGTCTGAAATGCTATGCAGGTTTCAGGAAATGAAATGCAGCAATTTGGTTTGAGAAATATCCATAATTTTGATATAGAAAACATTTAAAGATAATACTAATCATAGAACTAGAGGCGCAATGGTCATATGGACATAGACAAGATCACTGGTTTGATGTGTAAAATTGTTGTCTCATATCTTTATAATAAAATATGAAATTAACCAAGGTAAGAGTGCCCTGGAGATAAAAATTGATCATTTGATGTGGCATTTTGATCAAAACTCATTACGACAAGGTCAAATCACGCGGATCAGAGAAGCATCAGGAAGCACAAAACTTTTCTTTTATTGGAAGAGCAAGGCAACAAAAAACTATAGTCACGTAAATAAAATATTTTGATATTTGGACTTAGAATATATTTTTCGTATTTAATTTTAATACGACTAGACAACATTCGATCATTCTGTTTTTACATTTCCCAAGACTAATGCCAGTGGATTGGAGGAATAACTTTTGACAAGATATTTAAAATTATGTTTTTTAAGGTAATTTTAATCTTAAATTTCTACTGATTTGTTAATAAGCAGCATTTCTCTTCCTTCTCCTATCAATCGGCAATCAAAAGATATTTTTTATTTTCAGTAGTATGCTTTTACGTTAGTAACTGCTGATTTGTTAAATTGCACTTTATTGTACATGAAATTTGTGGAGGGACAATACGCACCAAAAGTGATTTTCTGTACTTTTATCGCAGGGACGTAGCATCGTTTTTTGAAAGGGGGGGGGTAGCTAGAAATTTTTTAATATCAAAATTCAAAAGAAAATCCTATTCCTGCGAGGGTGTGTGTGTGTGAGGGACGGTGTCTGTGATGGGGGATTTACTACGCTGAGTCTGATATTCATGATATTACGAAATACATACATGCAGGAATCGAGTTACAGCCTTAGATCACATATCAAAATAATTACCGGTAGTACTTCCTGGTGGTGTTAGGAATACACGTGTGCATTCTTACAGTGAACCACCAATAATAAACAGACATGAGAAATGAGCTGAATCATTATAAGAGAAAATGGAACAAAAATCGAACTTTTATTCACCGTCCTTTGGGTTGCAGCAAAAGTGATACATATGAACGGTTTGTTTTGTGATACAGAGTATGCGGGATATTGAGGACGTATATTACAAACCTTGGACTTCTCAGTACATTTACAAAGGAGTCAATCAATCCATGATATTACGCAGCATTAGTTACTGAAAAGAAGTTTGGAACACCCTTGTGACGAATCTAAATATTTTTCTCAACATTGAAGCAACAATAGTCTTGGATAACTTGGTAAGTCTGAAGTTGTATTTCATTCCTAAAAATAGATAATGGATTTATTAAAAAACAAATAAAATAACGATTGAAGAATAAAGATTTAAAATTGTTACAAATTAGTTCCAGTCTTACTACAAGAACAGGTACTTATTTTTACAATAGCTAGATCATGTAGATATACACTGAGTATATAATACGTATGTTTACACGTAAAAACACTTTTTTCAGGTGCTCTGCATGACTTATTTTAAGCTGTATACAATCTGGGTGCACCATGTATCTTAACCTCTTATTTTTCCTGCAAAGTTTTAGGGAAAGAAAACTGGCCTGAGTTTGTTTTTTGTCTGGAAATCTGGATCTTTTCCTTAGGAAAAAATTCCACTAGTTTAGAAGTTTTGGTAGAAAAGCTTTCCGTTTTGGATTTCTTGCAATCAGGTAAGACTTTTTGGTTTCTATAGTTAACCGAAACTAGGACAGACAGAATAATAAATATTAGTACGTAGCACCTAAATATACATTAAATGTACACCTACTTGCAGTTGGTACAGGTTTTAAAAAAGGACGGTGTAAATAGAAGTCTGTCTTAAATCTTTCTCCGTAAATACAGTTTCTTTACATGTCTACCATTTTCAACATTCAGATACATTGTAAGTTGAAAGCCCTTTCATGTTAATGTCTTGTTCATATAAAGATCTAATATCTACATGTATTTGTGACGGATGTTACAAGACATTACATGTATTATACACATTTTCGTTTACTAGAAGACTACAATTTGCATTTTAAGTATTGTCAAGTTTCAATTAAATTAATCGAACTTGTGCATCTTTGGTTCATGCAATTATCGATACTCCTCAGACCAATTTAAGGTTCAAGTCATACTTCCACACTTGATTTCAATTAATTTTTTTGTGTTAAAATAAATATGAATACCAAATTTTTAAAACTGCAACACAATTAAAACAAGCACATTAAAAAAAAAACGAGGAAGCCTTTTACAAAAGCTACGTATACGTTACAGTTTATCAAAGAGTGACATAATTTCAATTCTAAAATTTGAAGTTAGCTATAAACTTTATGTTCAAGGAAAAATTTGTTTTTCATGCCCGTTCAATCTGTGAGAATATTAACACTAAATTAGCCAACCCAGATGATTTCCAAAATAGTTTCAAAGAGAATTAATTGCAAGTTATTATTCTGTTTTGTAAAAGTTACTTAAACTATTTGATTTTGTTTTATGGAAATTTGAGCTATTTGTCAAAATGGTTAAATTTAATTACCAAAACCCCGTTATTGTTTTATTTTTATTGTTTAAACTTTTAAAAAACTAGTTCTCAGGCAATATCCCTATTATACATGGATTAATATTATTTGTTTCAATATTTTTGTTAAAATCAGCAAAGATAATTAATATAATTGAACAAACAAAACCATTAACATATTGTAAGTTTTTACTATTTCTATGATTGATCAAGTAATAGGAATTGAAAGTTATTTATAATGATAATGGTAACTTAAACTTGTTTACATTTTGTCAGTTCGAATTTCCTTAGCCAATGTTTACCTTCACTACTTATTTAGTTAAATGACTTTGTTTCGAAAAAGAGTTTTTTTATATTGTTTGATCACTCTATTAGTCACCAGAGTTAAGTAAGTTAGGGCACCAACCTTTGTAATGCGTTACGCAGATAGAAATATGATTTTTATTGTACCTGGTGACTATATATTTTGTTCATTTCTTATCGGAGACCTGAATAAAGCAGTACATTTTACTTAGCGCTTCCCTGTGTCTAGAGTAATCGATTTTGGACTGGACAAAAAGGGTCCTCTACACTGTTTCAACTATTCAAATCGTACAAAACACGACACGATACTAAGAAAGGCCTTTGTATGATCAATTGCAGACTATTTGTCATGGTTAAATTGCCATTATTGATTAGCGAACAGCTTCCCTCGATCGTTCTATGACCAGCACGCATAAAATATAATCTGCATCCTTGAGTATTACAAGATACTCGCAGTGGGTGGTGGCGGAGAAAAGTCTGATTTGTTGTTAATGTCTATTTAATATGCCATGTTGTTTTATAACAAGACTTTAATTACCCGTTACTAACTATACGTTTTCAAAATATTACTAAAACACTTCTGAACTGAGAGAGAGATCTTTTGGCAAAAATTAAAAAGAAATATAACATAACTTTTTCTCTAAAGATAATTTATTATTTTATGTAGGATAGGGTTATATATTACTACATGTAGCAATGTGTGCCTTTATTTTATCTATATAAATATTTTATCTGTTTAAAATAAACGATTCAAAGCTCCACTATACAAGCTTTTAGCGAGACAAAAAATAGATAATATTTAAAAAAAAATACAAAATGAATAAATAAATAAAAACAGGAACATTTTTTTTCATCTACAACAATAAGCAGATAAGTTTACTTAACCCTTTACTGATATAATTTTTTTGATACCATTAACTTCTGTTTCCTTAAACTTTCAGGAAAAAAACTAAAGCATCTAATAAGTGGAGTAAAATTTATGTTCTTACAGATGAATTTTTTGTTTTAAATGTCAGTGGGAATGAGAGTTATGGCTCAGAGGGGTTTTCACTTAAAGGGAAAAAATACATTCTTTGCACCGAGAAATGGCGTTTTTACCCACATTGGAAATTTAACCCGCTGGTCCATAATGGTATATGTTTTGCAGGGTCAATTTACAATTCTGGATCCCCTCATCTTTTAAGGCTGAAACATTAATTACTGTGTCTATCTACATATTCGATAAAAGATATTGATAAGACTTTATATTTCTTCTAGGATAATATATTTCTAAACATATTTTGGTTTAAGGACAGATGATACAAACAAAAAATGGATGTCTGGATTGGTATATATTTTTTGGTCTAATTTCATTGCAAATGATGCAAATAATAAATTTCTAGAAAATAAAGAAATTTTAAACCTTCTCTAATGTTCAAAAGTATGCCCTTCTGAAACCATCCTTATTAATCTAATCAATTATTTTCACTTTTAATTCCATTTTTGTGCAAATTTGAATAAAAAGTTAAAAACTACGCGGTGAAAGTTATTCAATTTACACATTTAAACATGACCCAACTTGCTTTTTTCAAAATCTTTGACAAAAGTTTGTATCATCTGTCCTTAAAGTAGGACTCCAAGCAATTTGCCCATTCTTTGAACTTTTCTTTTTAATCAGTTCGGTCGATTTTACTTGAGAAAATTACCTTCTTAAAATATCTTTTATTCAACACAAATAATCGCTTAATATGTTGATGATGTTAGGAATAAACAAGGCTTTATTTACATTGTAAGTAGAATTAAACTTAATGTACATGAATCTCTATATCATGTGTCCATCAAAGAAAATGCTTACCAGTTTATTATCTTTGTAGATTATCTGCTGAAAAAACCAATTAGTCTTTAAAAAATATATTTTCATACAACGTTAACGTTATGTTTGTGAAATTTATTCATCGTGTAAGTACATGTAAACTATTTCATTAAAATCAGGTTTTGAACGTAGCTATGTTAATAATTTGATATGCGTTTTAAAATAAAGAATTAATTTGACTTTGCACATTCCGTAGTTATTAAAGGAGCATCCTCAAAACCCTTTTTAATCATGACCGATATATAAATGATATGCAGATTTATCATTTCTGAAAAAAAGCATGCACGGAAGAGATTGACCTAGTATCTTTTTGAATTAATAGGCGTGCTCAGAACATTACGTATTATATACATGTATGTAAAACTTATTCATGCTGAATTTTACAAATAAAATAACTCATTTTAGGGACACAAGAGTGCATCAGTGATTTCTCTCTATTGGATACGCACGAAGCTTCTGGATGCAGCGTTCTCTGTGATTGGAAAAATATATGACAAGATGTTCCACTACATACCAAAGTTTTGAATGCTGAAGTAACTGTGCAAGGATACCATAGGATCTGTCCCTGCGTGTTTAGTCTAATATACCACTATTCAATTCATCCACACGTTCAAAATGAAGGCGAGGGCAATACCTGTGCACTCGAAACCATCTCATCAAACCTTATTCACATCAATTTCAACGTAGCTATTTATGTAAAAACTATATGTATATATTAGAACTGTATTTAGCCTTCCGGTGCCTTCTGATATTGATCTTGTCTCACAAGAGCTGCGTATATCTTTTTAGAGCAAAATACATGGAGTATTTTATTTTTCTCACAAAAAACTGTAAGGAACCTACTAAAGGAATGTACATAGCCTTAGCCTCCAAGAAGAAAAGTTTTACTCTGGAGCTAGTATTCTTTTCTTAGTAGAACTGAATAAAGCCCTCTAGAGAAATATTACTCCACAGTTTTTCAAATGATAATTGTACTAAGCCGTCTAGAGGAATATAACAGCATAGTTCACATTTTGTATTACAAGAACTCTACGTAGAATTCAAAAGAATATTACTCATTTGTTCATATTTCGTCTAATTAGGAATGTACAAAGTCTCCTAGTGGTGTTGTATTAGAAATGTATGTAAATTTCGAGAGGAACACACCTTCGTAGTTCTGATTTTGTCTTATAAGAAATGAACATAGCTTTCTAGAGGAATATAACTCCGTAGTTCAGATTTTGCCCTATCAGAAATGTACATAGCATCATGGAGGAATATTCCCCCGTAGTTCAGATTTTGCCCTAATGGCTATTAGAAATGCACATAGACCTCTAGAGGAATATTCCTCCGTAGTTCATATTTTGTCTTAATAGAGATTAACATAGCCTCCTAGAGGAATATTACTCTGTAATTCAGATATTGTCTTTTTTGAGAATGAAGTACATATAGTCTCATAAAGGAATAATACTCCGTAGTTCAGATTTTCTTATTTAGAACTGTACAAACTCCTAAGATAGTTCAATTTGTCCTTCATAGAACTGTGCATACATAACCTTCTGGAGGAATATTACTATGTAGAAAAGACTTTGTTTACCTCCACTTATGCTGAGTTTTCACCTCGCATTCTAGATGTCTTTTTACAACTACACAAATTCTATCAGATATATTATTTACTCTGTAGTTAATTTTCGTTTTGTAGAGGATGTAAATAAGATTTTGTTTCATTTGTGTCATAATAACCTTTTTGAGGAACCCCGTATATATTTTGTTTTATTGGAATTGCAGTCTTTAAGAGAAATATTACTTTTTGGATGAAATTTTGTCTTTTTAGAGCTCCTCAAAGTCTTTCAATTGAATATTATTACGTAGTTTATTTTTTTGTTTAGTCAGAATTGCAATCCTCCAGAAAAATATTACTAGTATTTCAAAGATATGTTTTTACCTCTAAGTGTTGTAAATATCTAGAGGATTATTACTCCGTCGATAAACTTTCGTCGTAGTACATGTATAGCATTACATAGAGGAATATTACTCTGTGGCTCAGATTAAGACTTAATAGAACTGTGTAATATAAGCCTTCTGGGGGAATATTACTCCCTAGATAAGTGTTTGTCGTAGCAGATCTGTACATAGAAAACTTTTACCCCGTAGTTCATATTTTGTCTTAATAGACTTTACTCCATAGTTAGATTTCGGCTCAATAGAGCTGTGCATACATAGGTATAGCCTTCTGGAGGAATATTACTCCGTAATTAAGTTTTCGTCGACAGAGAGAAATATTACTCCGTTAATACAGATATTGCTTCAATAGAACTTTGCATACTTAGCGTTCTGGAGGAATATTACTCTGTAGATAAGTTTCGTCGTAGTAGAGCTGCACTTAGAGGAATATTACTACATAGTTCAGATTTTCTCTTATAATCATCGTACAAAATCTTCTAGAGGAATATTACCCTGTATACGAGATTTTGTCTTACTTAAGCCTTACAACATTTTTGTTTTAGTTTAGAGTTGTAAATAACCTTAGAGGAATATTACTCTGTAGTGAATTTTCAGACTTCAGAAGCTTTGCATTGGTCTTACGGAGGAATATTACTCCGGAGGTAATGGGTGAAGTTTTTTGTCACACTCGAATTGTACATGTGCGTATATTTATAGAGGAATGTTACTCCATACTTCAGTGTTTTGTAGAAAGACTGTTCTAAATATGAATAAATTTTTTAAGAAGATATCTCTGATTTGTTTCTTCTTATTCGTATTACAGAGGTTGTATTAAATCATATGTTAAACTCTGAATTGAAACCCGGAAAAGGTACGGTGAAGCACAGTACCTTTTTATTTTGCTGTTTTGTTACTTGTGTTTTTTATGCCATATGGGCCAAAGATTGGATTACTTACATGAATCTTGAAAACGCCTTATCAGACATGTAAAAACGCGTTTTTTAGCCGAGACCTAAATCAATAAAATTAAATGTACATTTTTACATGTAATAACTTCGCCTCAAAATTACTAGAAGAGGGGGATAGACCCGCGCATGTGCTAAATAAGAGGAGGGGGCATATAAGGGATGATGAGTGTCACGGTTTGAAAAAAATTGTAAGAAAACAGAATTTCTGCATGTTTCCATCCTCCATATTAAAATTTACATAGGCGTCGGAAGCAAATCGAAAGTGGGATGAAAGTGCGAGGGGAAGATGGGGGTTAAACCAAAAAAATAAGATAAATTCCAATTTCCAATGCCTATATATATTATGTATTCCTCTCCAAAAAAAGTACGTGTTTGTGGGGGGGGGGGGAGGTTCAAACTCCCCTGCGCCCCCAGTTTCCAACGCCTATGATATGTTTGACATTCGACATGCTTCTATATTCCTCGCTTTTAAAGGTACTTGAACACAGATTTGAAGTCAATATATATATTTTTTTAATATTACGACATATATATATCTAGATCCCAGATAGCAAGCTTAGGTTGGGCCAATGCCAGCCCAACGGTGAAAATTACGTTGGCCCTCTGTCAGTTTTATTTGTTGGCCCAACATCATCTTGCTCATCGGCCCATCGTTCAACCAACAAGTTGGCTCGACGTTGGGCCAACATTTGAAGGTTGGTAATCTGACATTGGTCCAACAGTGGCCCAATGTATAGCTTCTTGTTGGCCCAATGTTGGTTCAATGTTATTTATGTTGGACAAACGTTGGCCGTATTTGGCAAATTATTTACGATTCACTTATTTTTTAATTAGTTACACAATATGAATTGCAGTTCTGTGACATTTTTTATTTCCATAATAACGAGTAAATCACAATTAATAAATTAAATCCTGCATGGATAATTAACTAGTTCTTCAAACAAATGTTGTTTTTGTCACTGCTGTATAATGAAACCAATACATGTAACAGGAAGGTGGTTCTAAGTCTATCCAATATCACTACATTTACAACCACTCTTAAGTGGGATCCAGTGTTCAAGTATGTGAAACTTTGGAATAACTCACTCCTTTTTTCCTTGTACATGTTATTATTTCTTTGTCTATTAAATCCATTTCCGTCACACAATTAAATCACTCACTGCATGTCCAGTAAATTCCATACATCAATGGTCTTATAACAGAAAGGGTTTTCTCTCCACCAGTTGCTATATAAACGATATAAAATATATATTAGTTCAATCACTTCAAAAATGATATATCTTGGTACTCAGATAAGTAATAATTAACTAGATTACTAATAAACTATATGAAAACTTTGGAAAGTGTAACTTATGTAAAACTTGTTCAATGTTACAAATTACACTTGTATGCCCAATTTAATACTTTCAAAAACATAAACTTCCATCAATAACACATTAAACATCTATACTTACATTTCAAGAGCTAAACAATCCGTTTTCTCTTTCTTGCGTTTCAAAGCAGACAAGTACACGTATATGCTTTGTTCAAATGCTGCAAGTGATAAATTGTGACCACTCCGAGTTTACCAAACAGAACTAATTAGGATGCCCGTTTCCTAGGAAACCGGCCAGTCACCCGCTGTGCAAGTGGATTTCAACACTGACCTAATTATCTGAAGCTCTAAAATTCAGCACTGTAAGTTTCATGGTGCTAAATATAGAATCTCCAAAATATACATGTGCAGAATAAAACTTCTACATATATAATATATTTGCCATGGTCTTGGATAATAATTACATATAAGAATCATCAAAAGTACATCATATGATTTTCATAAATTAGGTTCTGGAATAATATTTCGTTTTTAGATTGATAATCAATGCATGAGTTGTTAAGATTAATTCATTCTTACATAACTTTTTACTTAAATTGAGCTGTCTCTATTTGAAGAAGCTTAAAATAAGTGGTTCTGAAATATACAAATTTAAAAAAAATTGCGTAATGAACATATCATGCACCTACATGTACCTGTTTGATAATGGAATTTGTTTTTTTCCCAATTTTCACATTGTTGGACCAACGCTGGGCCAACGTTCAAAGACCAATCAATGCCTGATTATAATCAAAATTTACTTCATTTTGCCAACATTGGACAGATGATTACGTGCCCAACACGCGGGTATGTTAAGGCAGCAAATGGACCAGAATTCGGCGAATTAAGACTTTTTTATTTTAATGTTACACTAATAAATCGGAAAAGTCAAGCATAAAACTTTTGTTATAATTATGCATTCTATAGACTTCAATGGGACTTATACTACATGAAGCACTTCACCACGACGTCACCACGTGACGTCTATAATTAGAAAATATGCCTTAATGAAAAAGTGAAAAGTTCAACACTACCCCGGGGATAATTAATTTCAATTTGTAATAATAATTATGTAAAAACATCTCTGTACCATGAAAAGTGCTGCTAGAATCCTACTGTCCTATCACAGAAATAATTATTCAACACTTTCTGACGAAACCTTCCCAAAATTTTTACATTTTGTTCATAACATCGAAAAAATTCATTTGTTCCCGTAAACCATACGATTCTAGCAGCACTTTTCAAAAACAATAGAATAAGAACTTTAGATAGAAACAAAAATTAAGTTTCAAAGTGTGCGGCGTAGTGTTGAACTTTTGCATCTTATTTGTTACGAACGACAGAGGAAAAGCTGATCGGCAAGTAAACACCTTCCCTGCTTTAATTTTACGAAGAAATTGTTGAAGTATATTACCATACCTTATTCATAAGCTTTATTCCCACATGAATCACACATGATATTCA